TTCCAGGTCGTCTCCGAGGTCATTGCATTTCCATAATAGACTTGTTTTGAGGTTTCATCCCAGTAAGCCTGAATGAAAAGGCATTAAAAATTAAAGGGTAAATAAATAAAGTATCGTGACAATAATGTGCAAACTCAAGAAATCTGATTAAAATCTAAAGTAAATTGTTAAGAAACCATGTATATTTTTACCTGCCATCCTGACGGGAGACCTTTTGAGAATTCTGCTAAATCAGGCTGCTGGGTTTCATTACTACGCACTTCTGGTGCAATTTCTGCTGTTTCCTTGGCTGCTGCTTGAGCTCTCCTTCTCTTTACTCTCTCCCGCCTGTATCAGATAGAAAACGGCATAATTACAAAACAATATTTGGTTGTCATAAAAACAAGGACGATAATAATAGGATAAGCATAGGATCTCATACCAGTCACCACCTAGTGGTTGAAAATTAGCATTGCCTCTGGCCTCTCCACTGGCGATCTGCTTAGCATGCCATTCCTGCATCAAAGATCTATAAGACACCACAAACGACCAATTCAACTACAGTACTTTTAAGGAAAAGAAAATCTGTTCACATACCTCAATTTCCCTTTGTCGCTTTTTCTCTAGAATCTCATACAAGTTTTCAGGCTCATCATCTTCAATCTCATTAAGCTCCTCTTTGGCCGCTTTCCACTGATAAAAAAGAACTTTAATTTAAGCAAACTAGGAGGGGGAAAAAACATTCACTCCAAAAAGATGAATCCTCCAGAGAAATCCAAAAGAAGAGTGAAAAGCATACCTTGTCCACCAAACCAGAGACCCTCTTGTTAGACCTCAAGGATGGTGCCACGGGTACAGTCCTTTTTTTACCACGCAGAACTGGAGAAAACACAAGTCAAAGTAAACTAATTAACAAGAGAAATAATTGGATGGCTTAAGTCAACGATATGTCATGTGTTAGCTAAAACTAGCTAATGGATTTGCATTATATTCTCTGTTTTGGACATGCAAAAAACAAACCAATAATTAGGCAGCAAGCCCAGTAGTTTACCACCGGAGCTCAGATATTTTCTGATGATCTCAATTAACATATTCTAGTGCTTTGCAAACCTTCATGACTAATAAGCAATGGTAAAGGCAAACAGACGCAATTAGCAGAAGAAATTAAAGCCTGAAACTTGATATTGATGCAAGTGATTAAGGAATTCATGCAGCACCATATAGGTTCAGAAAGGGAATGTATTCATTCAGAACCATAATGATTCAGAATTCTGTACCTTTAGACTGGACCTTTGCAGATGATGATGTGCCAGCAGCAGAAGTGATAATGACATTGGTTGATTCAGAACTAACACTATCTTTAACTGAAACAGTTGCAGGAGCTTGAATAGTAGCTGAAGTACAAGGAATTGTTGCAGCTACTACATCCCCACCATCAGCAGTTGAAACATTAACCTTCATTGTTATGGCAGTGGAATCAGCAGATCCTAAGGTAACAACATTGTAACTGACAGGAGCAGAATCCTTCTGAAATTGTAAAGATTCTGCATTGCCATCAACAGTTGCAGGCAGAACTCCTCCTGTTTTAAAATCATAATAGGCTACAGCCTGAACAGTATTAACCATGGCATTAGCAGTTTCACCATAAGTGTTGGGAACGATTCCATAATAAAGTGATGCATCAGGTACAGCAACTTGAGATCCATCTGCGTGTCCGTAAAAATTACTACTAGAAACATCGGCAACTGAATGTCCATAATATTGAATATTGGGGTCTGAATAAGCTAAACAGTATTGTTCAGCATAAGTGACAGGTTGCCCTGTCTCCATATAAGATGGTAACGGAGGATAAGAAGGTTCTTGAAGCTCATCAGACGGAGGTGGAGGAACTTGGTCATTATCAGGCGGTGGTGGAGGAATTTGCTCATTATCAGGTGGGGGTGGAGGAATTTGCTCATTATCAGTGGGGGTGGGAGGTATCCATTCCTCATCGAGAGGTGGTAGGACGGTCGAATCATCATTTAGAACCACAAGTGGGTTCCCTGCAGTTGGATATGAATGGTCTTGCTGGTTGACATCAATTCCATTAGCTTCATTACCGGCTGAACTGCCTCTTCAACCTCCATGTCCACATCCATATCA